CAGTAGCTGAATGGATAAAGAAGATGTGGTGCATATACACAATGGAGTACTATCCAGCCATGAAAAAGAAGGAACCCCTGCCATTTGCAACAACATGGATGGACCTAGAGGGTATTATGCTGTGTGAAATCGGCCAAGCAGAGGAAGACATATACTGTATGATTTCACTCATTTGTGGAATCTAAAAACAAAGCAAGCAAAGCAGCAGCAGACTCCCAGACACTAAGCAGGGATGGGTGGTTACTGTGGGGGAGGGGAGGGGATAGAGGGGCACAAAATTTCAATTATGATATAAATTAATTACAGGGATTAAAGTACAGCATAGAGAATATAGTTAATAATAGTTCTGTAATATCTTTCTTTGTTGACAGACAGTAACTACACTAGTTGGGGTGAGGATGCAATAATGTAGATAATGGCTGAATCACTACATTATACACTGGAAAACAATATAACATTGTGTATCAACTATACTTCAAAGAAAATAATAAAACAATAAATAAATACAATGGAATGCAAAGATGGTCCTAACAATGTACAGTGGAGTATCAAGAAGGAAGATACAATCAAAATATCAGAAGCTCCCACTATTTCATTTAAAGTGAAGATATGTAGCTAAGAACCATTCTGGGAAACAAGATGTCCAACTTAATTTTTTACTTTCATAGATTATATGTATTGACAAGAGACCAGATAAAGGGGAAAGTACTAAAAAGATTCAGTAAGAATCTACAGGGAACAAGGGACATTGAACAGAGATGAATATATAATTTTTAGAAGAAAATATGATAAACACATTGGTCATAAGAAACATGTAGACCAATGCACTTCCAGATATTTTAGACCTTTTATACCTAAAAGCTGGACAAGCCATCAGTCATCAAATCCTAGTATTAGACTGCAAAACTCACTTAAGAACAAGAAGTTACATCTGCTTGGCTGAGACACTGTGGGGGGCTAGGGGGAGAGAGAACTTAAAAGGGAAAATGGGGGTGGGGAAGAAAAGCCCTTCCTTAGGCCCACTCCCCTAAGCCACAGCTTCTTCCTTCCCTTCATAAACAAACACCTGGAAAGATCCATTTTTCCCATCAGGAAACATTCGATCGCTCCAAACTGCCTCTCGTCACCACCTTTGCGCCCAGATGGCCCTACGTCCTCAATGCCAACCACAGCGCCTTCATGGAACCCCCTTGTCCTGGCGTCTGTGACACCAGCCTCTCTTCTCCGTCTGCTCACCTCTCAGCCACGACTCCACTGTCTCCATCACTGCATCTCCTTCTCTATAAAATGCTCAAGTTCTCGAGTTTACCTAAACTCTCTAGGCAATTTCTTTCATGCCCTCAACTACTATTTATACGCCAAGGAATCCAGATTTTACACACAGCTGAAACGCTGATGTCCACACCCAAGCATCTGCAGCTGGTTGCTGCCCATGGGTGTCCCCGAGGCACTAGCAGGGCACAATGCTCTTCCCAGCCAGTGTGTCTCCTAATTGACCAGCACCAGCGCCCGCCTAGTGCTCGGCCCAGAAACCTGGATGCTGACCCTAAGAACGCCCTCCTCACGCCTACCATCACAGGGTCAGGACTGTGTCACCTCACAAATGCTCTCGAATCACCCACATCTCCATCTGCACTCTTAGTGCCAACCACCACCATCTCCCACCAGTGGTCTCCCACATTCAGCCTCACCCCCACTAGCCTGAAGTGGAAGTAATTTATTTGAAACACAAATATAACCAAGACTCCTCTGCTTAAAACCTTCCATCGCTGCCACCACCGCCTTGCTCTCGGCATTAAAGCCTGAGTCTTGCTGCCTTTCAAGGTTCAAGCCCTGCTTGCCATCTGCAGCCCCTTCCCTTGACCTCTGCCTTCCTTCAGTTCTTACAAAGTGCTTCTTTCCACCCCAAGGCCTTGGGCTTGGCTGGTTCTTCCACCGAGGAAATTGTCTTCTCTCGCACCCTTACATCTATGCCTCGCTGTTCTTCACCTCATCTTCAGGGCTCAGGGAAAACCTCCTCTTTAAGCACCACCACCCAGATGGGACCCCCATTAGCCTGTTTCTTTTTTAGGGTACTTCCACATGTGCAGTTAAATGCTCTTTGGTGTAATGATCTGCTTATTGTCTCTCTTGCCTGAGAGACTATCCGTCACATATATCTTACTAACTGCTTCCCTCCTAGCCTAGCTTTGCGCAAAGCAGGTATTCAATAAATACTTGTCAAACTAATGCCAACACTGGCCGGTGCTACTTCAACCCTGATCAAGTGAGCTGTGGTAAAAATCAATAGTCTCAATTACAGTCGTGCCATTAAAACAACCTCACAGATTTTTAAATGAAATTTATGTTACTAACAAATTATCCCTTGCTTATATTTTTATATAACGAGTCTAATTTCTTAGAGGATCAGAACTCTAAGACCAGCTGATAGATATCATGTACAACTGCATAAAAATTGTTTTTAAAATGTTGCTTCTAAGAAGTCCAAACATCCTTGAAGTTAGCAACAGCAATAACGAAAGGAAAAGGAAACCAAATGTGATCAGATACTGCAAAACCTGTTAACGTGAATAACAAACGAATAAGTACATCCTCGTGTATAAAAAATTCAAGATCTCTAAAATAAACCATGGTTTTCCAACACTTGCTTAACTTTCAAAGATTGTATCTTTAAATGACAAGTAGATAACATGGAAGAAATACACAAACCATTTTTCAGTATGATCCATTCAGGATGGAAAACAGCTGCCCATCTGTGCTATGCATAAATTTGTAGAAAAAAAACAATGATCTAGTCTTTACAACTAAACCAGTTTTCAATAGGTTACATTGATAAGTAATTTCCTCTGAATCTCTGGCCTCTTCCTTTCAGTTCTTTCATGTCTTAATAAATGGCAACACCATCCACGTGTTGCTTGAACTCCAAACCCCGACCCCTCCATCCCTCTTGCATTCTCCTCCAGTAAGTATCTGTGAGTGCTGTCGGCTTGGCTTTCACAACACACCTCTCTGCCCTCTCATCACGCCACTCCCTTGACCCAGAGACCCCCAGCATCTTTGCAGAACCACCACACAGCCCTCCCGCTGGCCTGCCTGCTCACACGTCTGTTCTGCCCGCCACACCCAGACCTTGGCTCAGCTGACATACTGCAGCCAGGGCTGTCCTTCCCAGAGCAGGTCTGAGCACGTCACTCCCCTGCCCGGCACACACCGAAAACCCCTACAAGCCTCTCTACCTCATTCTGGCCCCTACCTGATCCTCCTGTTACCTTCAAATGACACATCTGAGCATCACATTACGGCTCTCTTACTCTAGGGCATCTGCTACTCCCACTTAGGCTCTTTCTGCTTGCTATGACTTCCGCCTAGAATGTCCTCTTCTAAGCCTCTCAACGCTCCTTCCTCACCCCCAAGCCTCAGGTCAACAGTCAGCCATCCCCCATCAAGCCCCAGAGGCTGTCCCTGACCATCCCAGTTAAACTCATGCCCAACCCATCTCCCTCACGTCAACCTGTTTTTTTTTCTTCCTATGATTTATTACCACCTGAAACTGCCTTTTCTGTTTCTATGGTTACCTGCTTATTCTCCATCTTCCCCCTAACCAGGAAACTCACCAGCCTTATTCACCCTTTACTACCCAGTGCCTATGCTTGGTACACAGCAGGCACTCACTGAAGACATATTACGTGTATGAACACACTCAACAACAAAAATGCAGCTCAAAATAGAAATTATCATAAATTAAGACTCAAAAAGAGGCAGCCCAGGACTTTCATCATGGGGTCCCACATATGCACGCTGCCAGCACCACTGGGGTCTCAAATATTAGTATATAATTTATAAATTAATTGTAAGTCAATTATTTCAATCTTTTTCTTATGAAAAATCTTTCCAAAAAGTAAGTTTAAATCTATTTCTTATGAAAAACCTTTCCAAAAAGTAATTTCAAATAAACCTGCATTATGAATCGGGAAAGGAAGCCATATGGCCTTCGTTCGGGAAAAAGGGAACAGTCTCTAGGACTCAATGGGAAGCTCATAAAGAGATACTTTGGGGAAAAATGATCAATTTTAAAAATGAATTACAATATTTAAAGTGGAGAATCTACACTGAAAGCTAAGAGAAACTATGGGAATTTGTTTCCCAAGACCAGTCAGTCATCGAGTGGCTAAGCAGAGGCTGTGCGTCTGCACCTTGCCGGTGGACGGTCTCCAGGGACCGAGGTACACTCTGGACATTTGGAGAGGGGAAGTCTAGGACCCTCCAAATGCCCATGCTCCACCATATCGGGGTTCTTACTTGCAAGGCCCGCTAGCTAGGCACATAATTAATGAGAATGGTTCAAATCTGTGCCTCGGGGAAATCATGCCTCACCAAATCCCCTGGACCCCTGGGACCTCCATGAGCAGTTCAAGCCACCGTGCTTGGAGTCCGTGGGCTCCCTCGCCGTATCTGGGCTGTTTCCATGAAGAATAAACTGCCTAGGATATTAATGAAGACTTAAAAAAATAACCAGGAATCTATTTACTCCACTGGAGCTATTTATTAAATACCACAGAGCATGAATAAAACCACTGGGATTACTTGTAGTAGCAAACAAAAATAGCAGTGGGCACATTATCTCCTTGTAATTGATTGCCTTTGTGAGACAATATTTTCTGGAAAAATCTGACTCCAATTCTAACTGCAAGCCACAGTAATCGTATCAATATGGGAACTATCTGAATATCTAATTGTGAAATAAAGAAGGCAATTTCACAGTGAAAGTATTGTTTTAATTCCAGAAACCAGCCATATTAACTTATCAGTCTGACATGCAGCAGATAGCTAAAAAACTTTAATTGGAAAGATAATTATTCTTAGCTGATTAATATGCTTCAAATTAAATTCACTGCTTTTAATGGGCCCATCAACTTGACAACCTGGGAAATTAATAAATTTGGCATGCAATAATCCTAGGCAGTTTATACAGCTGAGCTAGACATCAATACGAGGGTTACCTTCACAGTACGCATTGTCCTCTCGGAGTGCCCTGAAACCATCTCGACAGCTACAAACGGCCCTGTCATTCAGATTTCTGCAGACAGAATTCTCCATGCAGTTATGCCTTTCAGAACAAAAGTCATAACCTACAAGAAAAAAGAAATTTGTGGAGGTAAATGAACTATGACAAAGCAAATAAACTTGGTCCACGTAATATCTTCCTTTGATTTAGAAGCTATTTTTCCCTAAATGACTTTTGTACCTGTATCTCCATCTATTGTTTATAAAACCATATGCTTTGTGTACCAAAAAGGTTTTCTTTATGTTTAACTCAGTTACTGCCTACCTCAAGTTAATCTTATGTATCTTTGTTTCTGACTTTTTAAGTGCTTTCAAGTGCCTGGTAGTCTAATTATAGTCTCCCAAGTATCTGAAACAAAGAAAGATTATTGGATCCCAGAAAGCAGTTTCACAGTTAAGAAGATAACATAGTAAGAAAGTGATCTGAGAACTAGGGGTTAAACATTATAAATGACTATGCGTAATACAGACCAGGTCAGATGAAAGGTGTACTTTGGGTATTTAAGAAATGAAATAGTCTGGGATCCTTTAAAAAAAAGTCTAAACATGTTCAAAAATGAAAATTTTATCATTTTAATCTAATTTTCTTTAGAAATCTGCAAGACAAAGTATGTCCAGCCAAAAGAAGATGATTTTCATGAATTACATGGGTTTCACAGATTCCAGAGTCTTTATGAGAGGAAAGAAAAATGGAACAATTTATAAACAGTGACACCAATTACGTGTAATTTCTCAGAATATCTTTTTCCTGTGTGAATCCCCTGTTCAAAGATCACCTAAGATGCTAAAAAGGTTGGGCTCTGGAATCCATATTTAATGGAAATTACATAATTATACACCATTCAAACAATTTTCTAATTGCCTGATGGATAAGTTATCTATCCAGTTTTACATTGTCTCATGAATCATTATTTCAGTCCATATACAAAAGAAAAGAAGACTGAAAGAATATATTCCATGTAGTTCAGAATAAACTCAGCTGCCTGTAGCCTGAAAAGACTTTTACTGAAGCAAATCAGGATGATGGAAGTTCTACACTGGCATCTTATTTGTAGCCAAATGCCCACAGAAGGCTGAGGCTCCCTCAGGGAGGGCGGGCTGAGCTTCAGCGCAGCCGGCAGGTGCATGCTGGCTCCGTCCGCGGCCGGGTCCGTCCCACTGCGTGGCGCCCCCAGGACTCTTCCGATACCGCCCTGGAGTCAAAACATATCCCCCATGAAAGGCAACGACGATGCTTAGCAAAATATTGTTTACATGACTTAATAAGCCTCCAGAAGGATGATGTTCTTGAAATGGCATTAATAAACAGCATAGAAAAAACCAAATGAATTAGTGATTTCTACAAAAATAAAATAGAACAAAGGTATATACCAGAAAAATAGTCAAGAACAGCATTTAAGTCACTTTACAACTTAACATTTCTTGACAAGTCTTCACAATTTAAATTCTCATGATTAAGGCTAAACGTTTAGAAGTAAAAAAGAGTTCATTCTTACAAGGAAAATTTAAAAATGTTTTCTCCTAAGATCTCTGTATTTCCTCCTTTGTCATGTGGCTATACCGAGCCACATTCTTCAGAGGTATTCTACTGTCTGTACAATGTCTGAGGGGGGATAATTTCAGCTAAAAAGTCATCTTCATTCTCTATCCCAATAGCACAGCGTATCATCTATCCACTCCAAAAAAGCCATGTCATATTTATTGTACGTTAAAACAAAGTTACTAAAACAACACTAGTCCACTCCTTAAGATACACAGAGAATTGAGATCGTGTTCTGAATCTTCGTATAATTTTACCTGCAATGTTTCCAACTTGTAGAGGCCAGTGGCTCTGAACAGGCACAGTTCCTAATGCATTTTTATTTTCTATCATGTTTGTATTTTACAAAACTATCTTCCAACTTTTTACTTTGCTGCATTTTCCCTTCTCCCATTTTTCAGACTTGCCCATCTATGCCATCACTGTTCATCTGTGTGTCGCCTCTGTTACATCCCATCTCCAGACCTGCGTGAGTGGCAGGGAGACCCCTCAGCCTGGCATCAGACATGACGCACACACCGTGCAGGGTCCAACTTCACTTTACAACTTAACATTTCTTGACAAGTCTTCACAATTTAAATTCTCATGATTAAGGCTAAACGTTTAGAAGTAAAAAAGAGTTCATTCTTACAAGGAAAATTTAAAAATGTTTTCTCCTAAGATCTCTGTATTTCCTCCTTTGTCATGTGGCTATACCGAGCCACATTCTTCAGAGGTATTCTACTGTCTGTACAATGTCTGAGGGGGGATAATTTCAGCTAAAAAGTCATCTTCATTCTCTATCCCAATAGCACAGCGTATCATCTATCCACTCCAAAAAAGCCATGTCATATTTATTGTACGTTAAAACAAAGTTACTAAAACAACACTAGTCCACTCCTTAAGATACACAGAGAATTGAGATCGTGTTCTGAATCTTCGTATAATTTTACCTGCAATGTTTCCAACTTGTAGAGGCCAGTGGCTCTGAACAGGCACAGTTCCTAATGCATTTTTATTTTCTATCATGTTTGTATTTTTACAAAACTATCTTCCAACTTTTTACTTTGCTGCATTTTCCCTTCTCCCATTTTTCAGACTTGCCCATCTATGCCATCACTGTTCATCTGTGTGTCGCCTCTGTTACATCCCATCTCCAGACCTGCGTGAGTGGCAGGGAGACCCCTCAGCCTGGCATCAGACATGACGCACACACTGTGCAGGGTCCAACTGCCGCGATTCCCCGACCGTGAGACACAGTGCGATCCTCCCTCCACTGCTTCAGGTTCAGCAAAGGAGCACCTTACTTTTTATCGGATTGGTTTTTTTTATTAACCCAGAGACTTGAAAACTGAAAATTTCGTCAATCAAATTCTAATTTACTCTAAACAATGTCAGACAGCTATTTTGATTTATTATCACAACAAATAAACTGACTGAATCTATTAGTGGTTTTACTGCTTAGATACAAAATGCCAGGGTCAAAAGGCTCACTACTGAATTTAGAAAATTCAGACCCAATTAAAGTGGGTTGTTTCCAATCCATAGGGAATAACTTCAAAAAATCAGAGTTGAACAACTTCAATAAACTGTATTTCTATTACCTTCACAGTTGCATTTCTACTCATGTGTGCCTGAATTTTGGAGTTGGAAGACCTGGAGTTATATCTGATCCCTACCAATACTGGCTGTGAAAACCACTAGCTGTGTACGTTAATTAACCTTTCTAAACCCTCAGTTTTTCTCATCTGTAAAATTAGGATAATATCCTCCTTGCAAAAATGTAAGGTTCAAATGGGATCACCTATGTAAGAGCATAACAGTGTAAGAATTGTTAGTGATCAAAACAGAGTATTACTAAAAAGCAACAAACCAAATATGTCGAGGCTCCTATCCTAGGGGAAAACTCTGGTATTCGGGGTGGGAGGGTGGACCGGCGACCTGACACAGTCTGGCCCCTCCTCTCCCTTTTCCTTTGGGTTTCATCCCAAGGATACCAACTGTTCCACTCTTCTTGTAAGCTTTTCAAGTTTGGGTGGAGTTCTGTGTCTTTTACTAAGTGCAGATCTTTCTATAAAATATTAATATGCATTTCTCTATAACTGGTTGTATAGGAATACGTGGACACAAAAGGTCATGAGCAAAAGCAATGTAAAGGTTATACACAATAACCAGGAGAAAGGGAAAATAATAATTTTGAGATGAATATTTGTTGGTCTTGCCTACCAGCATCTCTTCCTCATTTTTGTGGAAAGAAAGCCCCATCGCGTTATCCTTTGGATGAACCCTGCTGTCAGCCCCCC